GGTGAGATTTGAACAGCCGAAGTGCAGATAACAGTCAGCTGAAGTGGCCTGCAGTACTGCACCCTAACCACTGCGCCACCTCGGCTCTTCTAAGTGAAAAGTGACTTACGGGATCAGAGAAAGACCTGGGAGCCTACCCCACAAAAATAATTCCGTCAGAAAATTTAGGAAACCAACACATGACCAGATAATTGGAAATGTCCAGTATTCGTTCCACTGCCGGAAAAGGATAACTCAAAAAATTGGCCCAATTATCACAACAATTGCTGACATCCCTCACATCAGCAAGATTCTGCTTAAAATTATACAATGATGTCTAGTACCATCCATTAAAAGGAAATTACCAGATGCTGAGGGTGTTGTGGCACCATGCCCATATTGCAAATCTATATTGGATCATGGGAAAATCTCATGAATATCAAAAGAGTCATTTACATGTGCTTTATCGAATACAAGAAAGCATTTGATTGTTTTTTGATCAAGAGAAGCTATGGAGAATTGTACAAGACCTGGGATACCGGCACATCTGGTCAAGTTGGTGCAATCACTGTAAACAAATCAGGAAGTCACTGTGTGCACGCCGTATGAAGATACTGATCTGATTATAGGGTTATTTTAAAAGGGGAGAGAATGGAGTGTGACAACTTTGCATTTTCTCTCTTTTCTTATTCAACCTGTATGCCAAAAGGATCACGAGGAAGCTAGATCTTGAAGAATTAAACATTGGGTTAAAGATCGGTGGAAGAAATATCAATGATCTTTGATATGATGATGATATAATTCTCATCTCACTAAACAAAGAAGACCTGGAACATCTAATCAGGAAAATCAAACAAGAAAGTGAGAATGTTGGTCTTTTTATGAAGATCAAAAAGACCAACATCATGGCCATTGCAAGGAGGGAAAACATCAAAATAGAAATTGATTGTAAAGAAATAGTGTGTGTGGAAAAATTCTTGTCCACACTATTCTTCTCTTTCTCATGTTTTTTTTAACTTGTCATTTCATGACATTGAAAATGCTTTTCCCTCATTGCTTGTCTTGTATTAAAACGGTTAATCTAGCCGACATTTGCCTTAGAAATGTCACCATACTAATAATTCATCTCCAAAGTACCTGTCTTTTCAGGACTGTGTATTCCATGAGGAATTCTGTTTGCTTTGAGATAATAGCCATCACTTGTCAGGATGTCATACTCTTCACTAGGGTATCTCCAATATTGTATGATTTCACTCTGCAAAAAATATAAATCAACAACACCTTGAAATAGCTAAATACTATTCAGGACCATTACTACTCTAACCATTCATAATATGGTAAATATTTTTTAAATAACTGGTCACTATCAAAGTATTTTCTCTGTGTTTTTTTTTTTAATTAGATGAAACTGCTCCTTCTCTGCCCCATTTTCCCCACTATGTGGGAATAGGAATGTACAATCTAATGTTTTTTTCAAACTTGACAACTTGTAGATGTATGAACCTTCCCATGCTGGCTGGGAATTCTGGGAGCTGAAGTCTACATATTTTAAATAGTGGTATAATTTTTCCCTTTGTGCAGGGTGGGGTGTCCTTGAACTAGAAGTTAACGGTAAGCCGGCTACATGTCCTGTCTGTCCAAATAGAAATAGACAATTCTATTTTAGTTTCCTTTATTTGTATGCCACCCTTTTCCGTGGGGGGGACTCAGGGCGGCTCACAATTCAAAAAGGGGAGGGGGAAAGACAAACAGTAGACAATACAACATGTTAAAAAAAAAGAGCACAA